AGTCAGTCACCATAAACAATTCATTCTTTGATATTCTGTAATCCCTCTTGTAACACATCATACTTACTCATGGCAGCCTTGGCTCACAGCTACTGCAGTTTCTTATAAAAGCCACACTACCCGAGGCACAATTTACTGTAATGTGATAAATTTGATTTCCATATATTGAATAATAAAATAATTCGATACACAACCGCAATTTACTTCAAGCCTATATCAGAAATCATCACCAGCTCGCCATTTCTATCCTCGCAGGAAATAGTTTCCAAAGAAGAGCTTCCAAGTGTTTAAGCCGGGAGCGAGAACCAGAGTACGTGAAGACGAAGGCGATGGAGATGTAACGACCACCCATTATTATTATTATTATTATTATTATCTTCCAGGATTATCCGACGAGATCTGTTCTGCCAATCAATGGACAGAAGACGTGGGTCAAATCAAGTAGGGAACATATCATGTCAATAATCATTATCATCCGCTGTAGGTATCGTGTCCTGATTACCTTGTGCCGGTAATAAAATGGGTAATCATTGTCTTGTTGAAGTCAATAAAGTTAAGGTCATCCCCGGTGGACAAATGGAGCACGGGAGGTTGGTTGGTTGGTTGGTTGGTGTCTGTTTAACGCCGCACTCAGCAATATTCCAGCTATATGACGGCGGTCTGTAGTGAGTGAGTGACTGAGTTTGGTTTTACGCCGCTTTTAGCAATATTCCAGCAATATCACGGCGGGGGACACCAGAAATGGGCTTCACACATTGTACCCATGCCGGGATTCGAACCCGGGTCTTCGGCGTGACGAGCGAACGCTTTAACCACTAGGCTACCCGACCGCCCCGACGGCGGTCTGTAAATAATCGAGTCTGGACCAGACAATCCAGTGATTGATATCACGAGCATCGATCCACGCAATTGGGATCGATGACATGCATCAACCAAGTCAGCGAGCCTGACCACCCGATCCCGTTAGTGGCCTTTTACGACAAGCATAGTCGCCTTTTGCGGCAAGCATGGGTTGCTGAAGACCTATTCTACCCCGGATCTTCACGGGCAGAGCACGGGAGGAGTCGTACAGTCTGCAGAACAAGAGCTTCACAACTGTTCTTGATATTTGTTTGTTCTTTTAGGACGCACGATATGACAGCGGTCTGTAAATAATCGAATCTGGACCAGGCAATCCAGTGATTGACCAACTGATCAGCGATTTATTAATTGGGATCAACAAGCATCAACGAAGTCAGCTAGCCTTGACCAGCCGATCCCGTTTTCCGTCTTATTACAAACATAGGTTACTTAGGACCAATTCTCGCAGCCATTGAAAATCAGGTGACAACCCAAATACATAAGACTCGTTATTTTCAGTGACTTTGCATGCATTTGACTAAGCACTAATATGTTGCTTTTGGGGAGAATTGACTCTGAGAAGTCAACATATTGCTATCACTGAAGTGATGCAGACAAGAATGTTGCCAATCTGCTCAAATGACACCTGAATATTGACCTTGAAACATTGTAAGAACTGCGATAGTTAAAAGTTATATTGCTATATCATTGTAACAGGTTTACGCTTGAAATAGTATTGCGATATCATAATCAATAACTTTACGTACCCATATTCCCCTGGGGACAGACCCGTGAAGATCCGGGGTAGAATAGGTCTTCAGCAAACCATGCTTGTCGTAAAAGGCGACTATGCTTGTCGTAAGAGGCGACTAACGAGGTCGGGTGGTCAGGCACGCTGACTTGGTTGATGCATGTCATCGATCCCAATTGCGTGGATCGTTGCTCATGATATCAATCACTGGATTGTCTGGTACAGAGTCGATTGTGTACAGGCTGCCGTTATATAGCTAGAATGTTGTGCGTCATCAAACATATAACACCTAATAAGGCTTCACTGGCTTTTGATCTCAAAGCCTGACAAAAATTATGTTTAGCGAAATTATTTGTTTTGTGTTTTAAGCCGGGTGTTTTAGTTAAAGTCTTATAAAGTCTGAATGGATGAACATGTATCTCTTCAAGCAACCAATTTTTTTTTTTTAAAAAGACGAGGTAAAGTGCATAACATTAACAAACTAGTGAGTGAGCGAGTATGGTTTTACGCCGCATTTAGCAATATACCAGCAATACCACGGCGGGGGACACCAGAAATGGGCTTCACACATTGTACCCATGTCGGGAATCGAACCCGGGTCTTCGGCGTGGCGTGCGAACGCTTTAACCACTAGGCTACCCGACCGGCCCTATTCCATCATGAAGACACGTAGAGTGTATAACAGAGGCATTGATATACCGTATATAACGTTAATAAACTACGAATTCAATCGAAATATCGACGGTCTTGCGTAAGATCGATATCAGCTGTTGATATTTTAGCTTTTCTCATCGATGTATTGACATCATGTCAAGAAAAATTACAACGAATCGTTAGTTTAATATTTTTAATTAAAACGTTCTTAACTGGTTCAAATGTAATGGATATAAATGCACCCTCTCTACCAAACGGTGAAACTCCGTTTATCTGGTCTGTACCTTTCCCAAAGAAGTCCCCCTGAACAAATGTCTGGATTAACGATACTTTGGTTTCACCTGTGTATGATGTTGATGACTGTTCCAAGCACGAGTTCATGACACCCTATCTACAGCATTGTAGTCGAGTATTTGTTTAGTACTGCTTGATTCTTCACCAGAAGGGGGGCACGGGTGGCCCAGTCGCCGCGATTCGCTGTGCAGAGTTGCGTCCCTTGGGCACGCCAGAAACCTATGATTGTGGGTTCGAATCCCGGTTCGCCCCTATTATGTTTCTAGGTTTGTCAGCACCATACCCTTGCTCGTGGGTTTCACTGAAGTGGTAAACGTCTGAGACCTGCATCACTTCGGGCTTTCACGCCGTGATAAAACTGGACTACTGTTAAAAGCGGCGTATAACCCAACTCACTCACTCACTTCACCAGAAGGCCGTTTCTTCATTTACTCTGGGCTGTGGGGGAATTTTGTTAGCTCGCCGTGCCGAAGACCCACATCTAGGATGGAACATTGCTACCAACCGCGTAAAACACTGACCCACTCACTCATCTACACGATCTCATCTTCAACCAGTGCGTCATATATGTGTGAATCATTTGTAGATAGACCGTCTCCATGGTCAAGTGGTGGAGCGTCCGCCCGGAGATCGGAAGTCGGGGTTCGATCCCAAGCCACGTCATACCGAAAGACGTTCAAAGATGGTACTTGTTGTTACCTACCAGGCGCTAGGTATTTAGGGGCTAAAACAAGGACGGGTCGGCTCGGAGTCAGTATACTGTGTCTGAGTGGGGTATTCATGTTAAACTACGGCATGGTATCTCAGTGGGCTAGCGCTATAAAATCGGCATTTGTCCGGACAAGTGCAAACAGTCCCTCGGATTCGCAGTGATCCATTTCATAAAATCTAACCGCTATCTTACCTTTTAATCCTAATGGAATATGTTTCGGATTTCAGATTCGGAGTTACATACCGAGTTTATTAAAGCAACAAAGCCCATTTACAAACCTCCAGTCTATTGTACGATTCCGACTGAATCATAAGCACATGTTGATGATTCACGATAAAAAAGTGATAAAAAAGTGATGCAGGTGTTCCCGAAAAGGCGAGCGTTTCATGCCCCACCGTTGGCATCATCACAAACACATGCAAGGACATGTCAGATGTTCACCTGACCCGTGAAGATCCGGTTGCTGGGTAGAATAGGTCTTCACATCCCATGCTTGCCGTAAAAGGCGACTATGCTTGTCGTAAGAGGCGACTTACGGGATTGGGTGGTCAGGCTTGCTGACTTGGTTGCATTTGATGCATGTCATCGTATCCCAGTTGCGTGGATCGATGCTCATGATGTCAATCACTGGATTGTCTGGTCCAGACTCGATTATTTACAGACCGCCGTCCTATAGCTGGAATATTGCTGAGTGCGGCGTTAAACAACAAACAAACAAACAATTGTTCACCTGTTTTGTATTTAATGACCCGGGTTCTGCATCTATGCGAACAAATAACGCCTTAGAAATAAAACGTGAGTGAGCGAGTTTCATGTACCACAGCTTTTAACTGTACGGCTATATCACAGTGTCTGTCTTTTGCATCACAGAGAGCAGTGCGAAGGCATAGTAGTGATGTGCGGTTTAGAACGAAACCTTGCAAGGCTTCCTTAAGTTTCATAGAGGGTGCACACATCACATTGGTGAACGAAGTACCTGTACGAAATACGTCCAGTGCCTGCTATATGTTCAACTAGGTTTGTCAGCACCATACCCGTAGGTTTCACCGAAGTGGTGAACGTCTGAGACTTCAGGCTTTAATTTCCTCCCACATTAAGCTGACACGCCGTGATATAACTGGAATAATGTTAAAAGCGGCGTTAAACCCAACTCACTCACTCACTCTCTCAATTGAAGGATTGCGGTTTAAGAAACATGTTTTCAGAACTTTGAGCATGTACCTGGGTAGTAGGGGAATTAAGCAATATATATCGCCTATTATTATTATTATTATTGTTATTATTATTATTAGTAGTAGTAGTAGTAGTAGTAGTATCATTTACAGAGCCATACTTTGTTTGAAGGCTGTTGTGACGTTTCCTTAATTAAGATCGAAAACGCATTCAGTACATCAGACTAAACCCGTGCCAATTCACTCAACAAACATTGTATTTACTAACATGAAAATAGTTCGCGTTTTATTTTGACGTGGTGTAAGTGTCCAAAATTCAATTTAGCGCATTTAAATCTACAAGAAACCCGGCTTTACACTGAAAACGCAGTTTATGTACTTGTTAATCTCAAGTCAAGTTATCGCGGAAAACGATGACAATATTAACATGGTTAAAATACAGCACCCCATAAACATTAAAACGACAAATATGTGTATGACATAAATACATGTATCAGTCCTGGAGATGCATGTGATACTTAAATACATCTAACAGTTGAATATACTGTGATTCTAAAACAAAATAACTCAAACTTACCTTTAATATTAACGGAAACGACGAACCGCCATATGTCCTGAGGTCAATGCACACGGTAATGCTGGGCGAATGGCAAGGTAAGCGTGACTATCGACTCCCGTTGTCACTGCCGAGCAATCCGGGTCTATTCGATTAGACTTCCTGGCGCCTGGAACGGGAAGGCTCGAGAACTTGTAGCGCGATTTCCTATAATAGCAGGGTGCATTCGATTGGACTATAACGTTCAATATTTGAGTGGAACACAGCTGTGCTGCCTGTGTTCACGAAGTGTCACTGTAAACAAGTTTGCCATGTCTTGAGGCTTGTTCGATTAGACAGCTAACGGACCGCATCTTCGATTTATGGCAAAAGCATTTTGGTTTTGATCAATCTGATGAGGATTATTGATTTGATAATTAGATAATTAATTATGTGTTCTAAAGAAACGGTCTTTGCTAATACGTTTTACACCAATACATTTCTGTCAAGTTTTTAGACCTTTGCACAAATGGTCCCTAAGTTTGAGTTCCTTCTCGGTGAGATACATATAGGACTTATCATCACTATTAGTGGTAGTTTGGCTAATATGTATACATACATGTATATCAAATGGAAGTCCCATATAGATTTCTTATGACGTCATTGTTTACCATAATATTAATAATTTAAAAACCTAACCTAGCATTTCCTTAAATTGAATATTTGGCTTGTTCACATCCTGTTGGGAGCGGTCCTTCGTAATCAACACTGGGCACAAATTGCTGTTGAACTTCCGTGTTCGTAAGTGATACCATTTGTTTGTTTCTTTTTTTGTTTAACGCCGCACTCAACCATATTCCAGCTATATGACGGCGGTCTGTAAATAATAGAGCCTGGACCAGACAATCCAGTGACTGGCATCATGAGCATCGATCCACGCAATTTGGTTACGATGATATGCATCAACCAAGTCAGCAAGCCTGACCACCCGATCCCGTTAGTCGCATCTTACGACAAGCATAGTCGCCTTGTTTCGGTAAGCATTGGTTGCCGAAGACCTATTCTACCCCGATTCTTCACGGGTCAGTAATACCATTTAAGATGATAGACACTTAACATTTGGTTCATCATGAACCTTGAACCAACAACATTTTGTAACTATCGACAATGAAATAAGGCGGTCTGTAAATAATCGGGTCTGGACCAGACGATCCAGTGATTGATATCATGAGCATCGATCCACGCAGTTGGTTTGGTTTGTTGTTTAACGCCGCACTCAGCAATATTCCAGCTATATGACGGCGGTCTGTAAATAATCGAGTCTGGACCAGACAATCCAGTGATTAATATCATGAGCATCGATCAACGCAATTGGGATCGATGGCATGCATCAACCGAGTCAGCGAGCCTGACCACCTGATCCCGTTAGTCGCCTTTTACGACAAGCATAGTCACCTTTTACGGCAAGCATGGGTTGCTGAAGACCTATTCTACGCAGTTGGTTGGTTGGCTCACATTTACAGAGCCATCATAAAGCATACTGGAATGTCGTTTAAGCAACAAACATTCCTTGCAAAAACATCTCACTGGAAAATATGTTTTAGAAATAAAGATCTCTTTCTACAAGCCGTTTTATCCGTCTCCTCACTTGACCCACTTATTTATGTTTGTTTATAGAAAAACAAAATATAAACTAAATTATATTGTCTTTTAAAACAACGTCGTAATGCCACGATGACTATGCGCACACGTAATTTAAACAACCAAAAACAGTCACGAAAACATCACGTAGGAAAGGTGCTATTAGAAATGGAGATCTCTGTCTTCCAGACCTTAAAGGCTAACAACACTACTGCACATATTTCCAATAGTTCCCCTGCCTTGCAATGTTGGGGGCGCGTTACGCTGGATGTGATTACCTCTTACTTAACCTTCACAATAAAAACAACACAAGGATGGAGCCACTTCAGTGGGAGTCTCGCAATAAGAAGGGGGGATGCTGGGGGAAGGGCTCCTGCTGGGGGAACGGCTCCTGCTGGTTAGTTGGTTGGTTGGTTTGTTGTTTAACGCCGCATTCAGCAATATTCCCGCTATATGACGGCGGTCTGTAAATAATCGATTCTGGACCAGACAATCCAGTGATTGATATCATGAGCATCGATCCACGCAATTGGGTTCGATGGCATGCATCAACCAAGTCAGCGAGCCTGACCACCCGATCCCGTTAGTCGCCTTTTACGACAAGCATATTCGCCTTTTACGGCAAGCATGGGTTGCTGAAGACCTATTCTACCCCGGATCTTCACGGGTCTGCTGGACTGGAGTGGAGGATGTTCGCCTCCTTTTACTTTCAAACATGTGCAAGCAAACGATAAAACAAATGTTTATAAAGCTGAGAGAAATATGCTTGACAAAAAGGCTCGTGTTTAGTAGAAATAGAAAATGCATACCTGTTTATTATTCGCGAATCTTGCTTTTTATATATCAAAATGAATCCACAGACATGTAAATTGTTATTTTATGTGGGCAATATTGTCATTGTACAGACGAAATGAAAATAAATAAATATTTATTAGATTGTAATCGATGAAATATCGCAAGTGCCATAGTTCCCACATTGTGTTTCCAACGTCATAAATTATTTTTTTAATCGCCTGAGAACTTTTGAATTTGAAATATATGCTTAATGCATAATTTCAGAACATGTTTCTTTGAGATAGGAATAAGTAAAGAGGAAATAGACAGAACTCGGTCAGAGTCGCGGCGTTGCCTGGGCGATGCTCGGTATGCAGCGACGAGACTTTAGGTCGTTATATTTAACCTTAGCGTATAGCAAGTGAGCTTTTCGCTCAGATAAATAAGGCATTGTTTGTGAACTATTTTGTTTTCTCGGCTTGGAATGCGTGGAAATAACTGTTTATTGACGTACACAACAGTAAGATCTAGCTCATGGTTGCATTGAATACAACTATGCTTTGTAAAACACATGTTAATGCATCATAGTTGTTGCAAATATTTCCATATTAATAAAAATTCTCCAGGGTCCATTTTACGATTTCGACTGTATCGTGAGCATGTCGTTATGATTTACTGCCAAACAGTGATGAAACCAGATGTTCGCAAAAAGATGAGCGTATCCTGCTTCACCGGTTGCTACCGTCACAAACACATGCAAATGCAAGTCAATTGTCCACCTGAGAATTGTTTGAATTTTCAAGGCATATGAATACATTGATTGATAAATGATTATATGAATAGCGTGTGTGAAGAGATGGTGTGGTATTCAATAAATATTCATTGCGATTATTGGTTTCTCTGACAACCAGACGCTCCGGTTGTAAGAATATGACGTCACCCAATGTTTGGTGACGTCATTACATTCACGACCGATGTCTGTCGAAGACCCGGGAAGATCCGGGAAGACCCGGGGTAGAATAGGTCTTCAGCAACCCATGCTTGCCGTAAAAGGTGACTATGCTTGTCGGAAGAGGCGACTGACGGGATCGGGTGGTCAGGCTCGCTGACTTGGTTGATGCATGTCATCGATCCCAATTGCGTGGATCGATGCTCATGATATCAATCACTGGATTGTCTGGTCCAGACTCGATTATTTACAGACGGCCGTCATATAGCTGGAATATTGCTGAGTGCGGCGTTAATCAACAAACAAACAAACATAGTGTCAGTCTGGTCCATCACTTGATTGTTTGGTTTGTTTACAGCCATGAGTATTGATGTGCGCGTCAGACCAAAAAAACCCAAAACACTTACTGTTTTAAACATATTCTGTAACTAGCGGGTGCTTGCCTTTTTTCTGGCGTTCATATTTTATATTAACAGGTGAGCGTGACATTGAAAGTTACCAATGCCTATTGTCGTTACAATTTGAGGGCACGGGTGGCCCAGTCGTCTAAGGCTGTGCAGAGTTGCGTCCCTTGGGCACGTCAGAAACCTATAATTGTAGGTTCGAATCTCGGTTCGCCCCGATTATGTTTCTAGGTTTGTCAGCACCATACCCGTGCTCGTGGTTTCACCGAAGTGTTAAACGCCTGAGACCAGCTGAGATCACTGATTTGGTGAACAATAACTCAGTAACCGTGAGAGGTCACCTGACACAACTCATTGACCCTGAGACGACTAACGGGATCGGGTGGTCAGGCTCGCTGACTTGGTTCATGCACGTCATCGTATCCCAATTGCGTAGATTGATGCTCTTGATGTCAATCACTGGAATGTCTGGTCCAGACTCCATTATTTACAGACCGCCGTCATATAGCTGGAATCTTACTGAGTGTGGCGTTAAACCACAACAAACATTAGCCCTGATAGCTGGGGTCACGGGTGGCCCAGTCGTCTAAGGCGCCGCGATTCACTGTGCAGAGTTGCGTCCCTTGGGCACGCCAGAAACCTAGGATTGTGGGTTCGAATCCCGGTTCGACCCGATTATGTTTCTAGGTTTGTCAGCACCATACCCGTGTTCGTGGGTTTCACCGAAGTGGTAAACGCCCGAGACCTGCATCACTTCGGGCTTTCCTCCCACATTAAGCTGACACGCCGTGATATAAATGGAATACTGTTAAAAGCGGTGTTAAACCCAACTCACTCACTCGTTACAATTTACAGGGATGTCGGTTCTAATTGGATTTCCGGGGCACTGGATACGCAATATATCAGCAGTACTCCGAATACACAAAATGTTTATCTCCTAAAACCTTTGAATGTCTGCTTAGACAAATTCACCGTCATCACAATCATCATCAATAATATTTATAGAGAAGCGATAAAAAGTGAGAGTGAATGTTATTGCTCGCTGTATAAGTAGATAACACTCCTGCCCCATTCCTCACCCCTTCCCCATTCCTCACCCCTGACCCATAAATCACTCCTACTCCATTCCTCACCCCTACCCCATAAATCACTCCTACTCCATTCCTCACCCCTACCCCATTCCTCACCCCTACCCCATAAATCACTCCTACTCCATTCCTCACCCCTACCCCATTCCTCACCCCTACCCCATAAATCACTCCTACTCCATTCCTCACTCATCACCCCTATCCTATTCCCCAGCTCTTCGCCACCCCAACCCCATTTCTCACCCCTCACCCCTTCCTCACCCCTATCCGGGGCGGTCGGGTAGCCTAGTGGTTA